ATACTGTACTAATATGTAAGACAATACTAATTATAGATACATAGCGCGCACGCACTGTCAAGAATAGCATGTTAAACAATAAATTTCTCCGCTGCTATTCTATAGGATTTTTTAAAACTTTCATATCTTGTATAAAATTATCTCCTCTTTCCACTGGTTATTGAACCTTGGGCGGCATCAATCTATAAACAATCGAAATTCGGCCTTATACTGTACTAATATGTAAGACAATACTAATTATAGATACATAGCGCGCACGCACTGTGAAGAATAGCATTTTAAACTATAAATTTCTCCGCTGCTATTCTATAGGATTTTTTAAAACTTTCATATCTTGTATAAAATTATCTCCTCTTTCCACTGGTTATTGAACCTTGGGCGGCATCAATCTATAAACAATCGAAATTCGGTCTTATACTGTACTAATATGTAAGACAATACTAATTATAGATACATAGCGCGCACGCACTGTCAAAAATAGCATTTTAAACTATAAATTTCACCGCTGCTATTCTATAGGATTTTTTAAAACTTTCATATCTTGTATAAAATTATCTCCTCTTTCCACTGGTTATTTAACCTTGGGCGGCATCAATCTATAAACAATCGAAATTCGGCCTTATACTGTACTAATATGTAAGACAATACTAATTATAGATACATAGCGCGCACGTACTGTCTGAGTGTCAAGAATAGCATTTTAAACTATAAATTTCTCAGCTACTATTCTATAGAACTTTTTAAAACTTTCATATCTTGTACAAAATTATCTCCTCTTTCCACCGGTTATTTAAACTTGGGCGGCATCAATCTATAAACAATCGAAATTCGGCCTCATACCGTATGGTATTAACTGTAAGACAATACCATTATAGATACATAGCGCGCACGCACTGTCAGGAATAGCATTTTAAACTATAAATTTCACCGCTGCTATTCTATAGGATTTTTTAAAACTTTCATATCTTGTATAAAATTATCTCCTCTGTCCACTGGTTATTTAAACTTGGGCGGCATCAATCTATAAACAATCGAAATTCGGCCTCATACCGTATGGTATTAACTGTAAGACAATACCCATTATAGATACATAGCGCGCACGCACTGTCAGGAATAGCATTTTAAACTATAAATTTCACCGCTGCTATTCTATAGGATTTTTTAAAACTTTCCTATCTTGTATAAAATTATCTCCTCTTTCCACTGGTTATTTATACTTGGGCGGCATCAATCTATAAACAATCGAAATTCGGCCTTATACTTACTAATATGTAAGACAATACTAATTATAGATACATAGCGCGCACGCACTGTCTGAGTGTCAAGAATAGCATTTTAATTAAACTATAAATTTCTCGGCTACTATTCTATAGAACGTTTTTAAACTTTCATATCTTGTACAAAATTATCTCCTCTTTCCACTGGTTATTGAACCTTGGGCGGCATCAATCTATAAACAATCGAAATTCGGCCTTATACTGTACTAATATGTAAGACAATACTAATTATAGATACATAGCGCGCACGCACTGTCAAGAATAGCATGTTAAACTATAAATTTCACTGCTGCTATTCTATAGGATTTTTTAAAACTTTCATATCTTGTGTAAAATTATCTCCTCTTTCCACTGGCTATTTAACCTTGGGCGGCATCAATCTATAAACAATCGAAATTCGGCCTCATCCCGTACGGTATTAACTGTACAGTAAGACAATTAATATTAATTATAGATATATAGCGCGCACGCACTGTTAAGAATAGCATTTTAAACTATAAATTTCTCAGCTGCTTTTAATTTCTATAGGATTTTTTAAAACTTTCATATCTTTTACAAAATTATCTCCTCTTTCCACTGGTTATTGAACCTTGGGTGGCATCTGTCTATAAACAATCGAAGTTCGGCCTCATTCTGTATGGTATTATTGGTAAGCTAATATACTAATACACGCTTCCGGAAAGTACGTCACCTTGGCTATAGAGCCTCGTTTTCGTGATTGAGACGTGGACTTTAACTGATGTCAGATACATGAAAACGAGGCTCTTTAACCAAAATGACGTACTTTCCGGAAGGTGTGTTGTAACGCTCGCACTGTCAACAGTAGTTGTATAGTAGTCGTAGTAGAGCATGATTTATACACGCTGAGCGAACCCGTCAACCGTAGCTGATTTCCACGGTGAGCGTGTTTCAGAAAGTAATTTTACATTTAGAATCGGATAATGTAAAGTTAAACTATTTACCGTAACATATAAGTTTAATAGATATAACAAATGTTTTTACAGCTATTTATAGGTAAATTATATTTCCATAAGTTACCAAGTACTAATGTGAGCTGTGATTTTTCTTCGAAAGGAAAAAAGTGACTTGCTTTCCCTAATTTCTTTTGGTATAGAATTCCAAATGGTGCTGCTACCGTCGTACTGAAATAACTATGTTTAATGCTATTTGTACGTGGTTTTGGTAAATAAAGACGATTTGAGATATCCCGAAGGTCATAATTAGTTTTCTCATTCTTATTCGAAAATAGATTTGCGAGTGATTTTGGATCCATTTTGTTTAATAACTTATACATCATTCTTGCTTTAGCTTTTTTCCTTTCTGGTGGTAATGGCTCCGAGCCCAAAGTACCTAAAGCCATCGTATAATCTACGCCATTGCTTATATTCAGAACAATTCTTGCCGCTTTATTTTGCAGCTTATAGAGTCGTTTTGATTTAATTTCGCCAAATACATCTCATACTTCAAAGCAATAGTCAAAGTACGGAGGAACAATAGTGCTATAAAGACAACGCAAAAAAGAAAGTTCCTTCCTGAACATATCACGAGAACATGTAGAAAAACATGTGAAGAATGAGAACGTGAAAAGAACCTCCATTGAAAGAATGACATAACCTCCATTGCATGAATGCAAAATACTCAATTTCAAAGTTAACAAGAATTACTTTATTTAAATTTCTCAACAACAGTTATGTGTAACCACAACGCTTTTCAATCACCCCAAGGCATCGTCTCCTCATAGTGTTGAGGAGTCTGCTTACCTGCCGTTGAGATATTGCAATCCATTCCTCCTGCAACAATTGAGCCAAGTCAACTGACAGACCGCTTTTGCCGGTCCCGAAAATACTCAATTG